TGAGTTGTTCTTGAGCCTTGTTTTGATCTGTTTGTGCCTGTTACAGATGAGGAGCGGAGCCTTAGGTTTTCACCAGGGTGGGGCCACCCAGGTCGCTGGTGTGACGCTTATGTGGGGGCGGGTAAGAGAAGGACAAAGGCAGTCCCTTCTGTCGCTTCCCGCCACTGGGGCCTGCGTCGTCTGTCTCTCTGCTGGCTCCTTCACCAGTGTATCTGCACACGAATGTGTGACTGCAGTCAGCCCTCAGTCCACCGCCTTGTGCCCTCAGTGGGTCCGCCCACGGCTGCTGGTGCATGTGGGTCGCGCACGCCTGAGTAGGTCCGGTGGATCTTTCCTGCCCAATCCTGCTTTGCTGCTGGCTCTGCCCCTCTTACTGGTTTGGCGAAAGGGTTTGTTGTTGTCAGACTTCATATAGTTCAATTTTCTGTGGTTTGGCTGCATTTTTGTCGCTAAAACTTTGTTGTTTTTAAACTTGGTTGTGCGAGAAGGTACAGTGCGTCCAGCTACACCTCCATCTTGGTGGAAGTCCCTTTGCCCATTTTTTAATCGGGTTAGTTGTCTTCTTAGAGTAGAGTCATGTAAGTTCTTTGTATATTTTGGAGATTAAACCCTTGTCTGAGGTATCATTGGCATTTATGTTTTCCCATACAGTTGGTTGTCTTTTTATTTTAATACTGTTTTCTTTAGCCATGCAAAAGCTTTTTATTTTGATGAGATACCATTCATTTATTCTTTCCTTTATGTCCCTTGCTCTAGGGGACATATCAGTAAAAAAGTTGCTGCATGAAATAACTCAACATACTGTTGAATGAAGTTGAACTGTAGTTTATAGGTTAATTGTTGCCAAATACCTTGTCAATATCACTGGGTTTGTGAGAAACCTCTCAGTGAACTCTCTGTCCCCAGGCCCAGATGTACATGAAGTTCTTCAACCCTGGCCTTGGGGTGCCCTATACATTGCATCAGCCTTTGGGTTTCCTTTCAGAGGAAGCCCCATTGCAATCATATACACAGCAATAACCAGGATTGAGGTGGAGTGTGTGGACACCATTCTCTTGCATGGGAAGTGGTATCAGAGTTGCAATTATCCTTGGGGCCTTTTCTTTGCAGGCTTCCGATAGGAGGTGGGGGTAGGTGAGCAGGGAGATGAACTCAGAGTTGAAGGGGGGCTTTCTTAGTTCCTTCGTGGAGGTGAGGTAAGCTATAGAAAATGGGGTTCTTGGGCTAAGGAGTTTGCCTGTGTTTACTTATGCACCAACACATTCATTTGTTCAACTCAGAATCTGGGGCAACTATTTTTCTCCTGGCCCTGTGAGAAAAGGAAAGAATCATACACAGTCCCTACTTTGGAAAGTTCTTGGCCTCCAGTGAGAGACAGATACATAAGTCTGCAGAATGGACAGTTTTTAAGGACTAGAAGTAGACAGAGCAGGGAGTAACTAATTTTGCTGAGAGGAGTAGTCAGAGAAGGTTTCCAATCACAATGAACATTGCTATTCTCTCTCTCTTTTTTTTAAGCTCTAGCTAAAATCCTTTTTAAAGGATTTTAAAGAACGTTCTTTAAATGCCCTACTTTTTAAAGAACATTTCTAAACATCACCACCTCTTCACCCTCTGCCCTGGAGAGTTATGCGTTTCTTACTAATATTTCTTACAGCACTTTGTACCTTTGTCAAATAACTTGTTTCATTCTATAGAAAGATATAGTTCCTCAGGTTCATGCCTGTGTTCCTCTCCCCTCTAGCCCAAGAATCCTTCTATGATGTGATAGCTGAGGCTCAGACAGGCTGTGCATGATTTTCAAGGGAATTTAATTAATGAGTTGGAGAGGTGGGTCTAAAAGCCAGGTGTTATAACCTGGGTTCTGAGAAATGGGAAATCTGACTAAAAAAGTTAGTGTTTTTTTCCATTTCAGCACTGAGTTAATAAATGAATGTGTCTACAGTGTGGGATCTAAGCGCCGCTTTCCTGAGCCCCTACCCAATTCTTTTCTTCCTCATCCCCTTTTATAAGCATAGCCAACTCAGAGAGCATCCAAAATGGGAAGACTGTGTACTTTGGGTGGACAACAGACCTAAAGGAAAAGTGCCCTTTTTGCTATTGCTGCAAACTTGGCCCTTCCTAGCATTGTTTGTGAATTAAAGAAGAACTCTAAGTGCCTTTTGTACTAATTTATGCCTTCTACATAGTAGAATGATTTACAGGTCCTCCTGGCTCCTAACGTTCTCTTTTATAGACCCATTGTGAAGCCCAAAGTAGCCACTGTTAACTATTACTTTAGGTGAAGACAATGTCTCCAGAAAGCCCCTGTTAAAAAAAAAAACAAACCAGTAGAGTACTTTAACTTATAGGTGGGAAAATAACAAAGTATGTAGGTGAATTTAATCACTACACTGTGAACAGAAACAATGGGATCCCTCCTTAAGAAATTGCCCACAGTACAATACTGCTTCCACCCTAGACTTTAGTAAGAAAGGAAAAAAAAAAAAAGGAACTGAATCTCTCTAGAAGCCAGATGTAGAGAAACTGGTCACGAGAACTAAGCCACTACATTATTCTGGTAGGGAAGTTTTCTGTAGAGTAGTATGAGTGCAAGTGAATACCTACCCTAACTTGTCCCTAAAGCCTCTAGGCCCTCACAGGAAAGCCTACTATGAGGAGGCAGGGATGGGGGGTTTATAAAGGAACCAGGAAATGTTTGAGTTGGAGAAGCCATGGAGATCATCTAGTCCAACTTCAGTTAGTTAAATGGAAAACCAAGGCTAAGGGAGGCAACACAGTTGGCAAATCTGGGACTAAGGCACATAACTCCTGGTTTCTGGGATACAGTTTTTTTCTTTTGAATTTGAATTTGTAAGACTGAATGAGACGTGTCCCAAAAGTATCCAGGAAGTACAATGAAAAACACATTTATTGAAGAAGATACAAGATACTAGAAACGTTGTACATACACTATGATGCCTCAGTCCCCTTCAAAGTAGGCACCTTGGGGTGTCACACAGTTGTCCCAGCATTATGATATTCTTGAGGAAACCTGGTTCATTGGTAGAGGTTTGAATCAAGTTATTACCAACTGCAGCATGATGTTCCTTCTACTCTGGTAGCAGAAGCCATGGATCGAATTTTGCCACAATGTGTTTTAAGCCAAGATCTTGTGTCAAAATCTCAGACACAGTAGATTTTGGAAGCCCCAGATCAGCTTCTAGTTCTTGCACTGTCAGTTGCTGATGTTCATTGATTGCAGCCTGTACATGTTCAACATTCTCAGATGTTCTGCTTGTTACAGGCTTTCCAGAATGTGAATTGTTTTCAACAGATTCTCTACCATCTTTGAAGCATTCATGCTGTACTTTTATTTGCACTGCACTCATTGCATCATCCCTGAAAGCCTTCTGAATTATCCAAATAATTTCCATGGAGGAATATTTAAGCTTCACACAAAATTTGATGCAGATTCATTGCTCTACTTACTCAATCACTTTGAATATGATGACCATACAGTACATATGCGCACTCCATGGTGTGTATGGCCTTCATTGACCAGTACAGTGTTGTCATTGTTCACACGTGCACATTCCAGTCCACTCTCCTTGGCTGCCAGGTTACATAAATGTTGTGCAAATCATTCTCGTTATATTAACAGTGCCCGAACTTTTTCTAGACAGACCTCATATGTAGGTTGGGTAGAGTATTCACAGGTGCTTGAGTACTTCCTGAGGTTCTAAAACTGCTATACAGACTAAAGACTGGGACTTGGGCACTGCAGTCATTGAAGGTGATCCCAAGCATACTCTTAAAGCATTGCAGTAATTGCCTCTTCCATCTGTCACATCATCAGGATTCACGATGTAGAGCACTGCATAATGGGAATCAAGCATTTTCCTGACCATGAATGGGGACTACCCAAAGATTGCAAACACAAGATGCTGTAAAGCCACCCATTTTCTTCTCATACCTTTCACATCTCATATGAAATCTGAAAGTCACAATTAAGGTTCTGGTACCATCTCTTCCTTCCCAGTGTCACCTTCTTTTCTTCCTTCTCTTTGTACTCAACATGGGAGAGTAGAAAAAGCCTAACATTTGGAGCCAGAAAAAAATGCTTGCAGATGCCCCTTTCTACATTATTTCCTAGTTTTTTGTTCCTAGGCAAGCACCTTTACTTCTATGTGCCTCAGCTTCCTCACCTGTGAATAAGGGTAATAAAAATACCATACACATAATGGTTGATTAAATGAGATAGTACATGTAAATCACATACTAAGTTCTTTAATATATATGAATTTCCTTCTTTACTTACATTTATAAGACTCTTGGATACCAGAATGTGGTCAGAGCAGTGCAAGCAGGGCCAGTTTCATAGGCATGTGAGCTGTAAAGTTCCATAGGGACCAGTGCTTACAAAGACCCCACACTTGGCCTAATGTTCTGCTGTTACCATCTTGAAATTCTTACTTTGTTTTAAAATAAGCATTTTCATTTTGGACTGGGCATTGCAAATTATGTAGCTGTTCCAAGGGGGATAAAAAGGGTATTTCTGTTGCTAGTAAGCATTCTGACAAAGTGAGAGAACCCATGATTTGGTGTTGATAGAAATAGATTTGAATTCTGGCTATGCCATTAATTTTCTGTTTGTTATCAGACATTTTCTTTCATCCCTCAGAAGCTCAATTTCTCAATTTGACAATAGGGATTTTCATTTGATAATGCCCCAGCTACGATATTCTAGGGTTCCCTCAATAGCTCTGGAGAACCTCCTTGGCCCATAGGTAGAGCCAGGGTAGCCAGGGGCTTTTTTGCTTCGACTCTCTGCAGCTAGGAGAGCCAGTGTCTTTTGGAGGTTGTTGGGAGTGGGCGGGCACATGGCAGTGAAGACTGTTGCTGCACTAGTGGACCCTTTCACAACAGCACTGTTTTGTCATTTTGCCCCCAGATTTCCGTTGGCTAACCTCAGCCTTATCTTCCTCATTTCTGTTTCCTCTTGAAGACACCAAGGGCCCTTCAAAACACACGACGATCCTGCTCACCACATAAAGCCCAGTTCCCTCTGGCCTCTATAGGTTGGCTATCACCAAGGAACCTGTGCCTCCTCTGAGACAAAGGCACCACTTCAGTAACAGGTATAGTATGCATTTGCCTTCTTTTCTTGGACTCCCAACCTGGGCTAGTGTCTATGGCTACTAAACATGGCTTGGTCCTGTCCATCTCATTCTTTTTGAACCCTCGTCAGGGATCTTGGGTTAAGGATTGAGGAGAAGAAGGTTCTCATTGGTTTTCTATCCTGGAACCTCTAAGTGATAGTGAAGGATGATATTTTTCCCCCAAACATGCTGTTTAGGAAATACCCACATGGAAATGAAATGTTCTCTGGAAGTAGGATTGATGATATTTGAGTAGCAGTCCTGGTTTGCCATTTACCCACTGTATATATTTGAGCAAGTCTTTTTTCTATTCTATAACTCAATATTTTGGCCTCTTTTGCAAAGAAGAGGAGGGGAAGAATGAGATGGATTTTGTCTAGAGACTCTTAGTTTTTACATCCCTAATTTTGATGATTGTCAACCCTCTGTTGACAAATGAGAATGATGCTGAGTAAATATCTCTGGGTGGGGCTGAACAAGCTGCTGCACCATGCCTGAAAAAATAATCCAGACTGCCCCTAGTATGAGAAGGCCCAGATGAGTTAGTTACAGGGCAGATCCTGCTGCTTGGTGTAGTCCCTTCTGGAGTGGAGCAGGAGATAAATGATAATGTTTTATGTAGCATGATGGGCCAAGAGATAAGTTTTGGGAATTTCTCAATATGTCTTCATGTAAGTATCCACCTCTTCTTCCTCTGGGTCTGGCCAGCTTTTCTCAAGTAAACTTTTCTTATGTACACTCTATTGGAGAAACATGGACTAGAACATCAAGAGTAGAAATGAAAATTGGTTTCAGACCAGCTACCAACTCCTTCCATTCATAGTGGGGTGATATGTTTTATAAGGCTCTTCAGTTTTCAGTGTACTAAGAAGGAATATTTACTTCCCTCACATTGGTTTTCCTTTTTGACATAGTCATAAAAGATGTTCAGCAGGCTTGGACTCCTCCAGTTTGTCCATGTCTTCTCCCTGGGATTGGTAACCTATGAGGGTAATGATAGAAGAAAGGCACCAATTGCCTCTCCCCTGCCACCCTGAATTCAAACTCTATTAATCAACTTCCTTAATTGGCCAGCTCCAGGGAATGAGCCAAGATACAAGTGGATTACTTTTTGGGAAGCTCTGGAAAGATCACAGAACAGTTTTCTAACAACTCTGCCAGGTAAGTCTTCTTGTACCCAGTTCTGGAGAAGAAAACTGAAGCCTGAAGAAAGACTTTCCCAATGCCATGATTGGCTAGTTGGTGCCCAAAGCACTATTAGAATGCAACATTGTCTGATTCTTCCCACTCTACCATATCCATTGACAATAATTGCTGCTTTGGCTAAAAGAAAAAAAGCCAGGCTTCTGAGTGGCTTGGGATAAATTGAGTAGGTAGCATGAAAAATGGAGGGATGGAAAATACATTTTAGATCCTTAGGTTTGAAATCAGTCTAAGATCTCAAATTAGAGGGGCATGTCACCCCCTTACCAACATACATTCAACTAAAAGAGTTAATAAAACATACTTTTTTTCTGAAAGAGAAGGATTCTGACTTGTTTTAGCTGGGAGAGGACCTTATGGCCTCATGGGGCAGTTCTCTATTCTTGATAACTTGGAATGTGTACTACTTTTCATGTCAGTATTTAATATTGCCAACTACTTTCTTACAGATCAACTGCCACTGCTAGGAAGGGGGTAAATTTGACTCAGACAACCTGGAATATTTGACAATAGAATCTGAGTGTTGTCAAAGGAATTCTCCCAGAATTTCCAAGCCTATCCATGCTTCTGGCAGCTTTCTTATTTCTCCTATGGCTGTGGGTTGAAGTATTCCAATGTCTCACTGCTGAGACAACTGCCTTTCTTTTTCCTTTCTTGTAGATGTATCTACTTTTTCCCAGAGGGACAAGTACAGGAAGGAGGTAAAATGACTGATGACTAAAGCTGGAAGGCAAAATGGGTTGGTATATGGCAAGACTCCAAATACAACTTGTGAACAACTTGTGAACAACTTGTATGACCATTAGAAACTTTCTTCCCTAACATGAGCCTCCATTTCCTCATTTATAACATGAGTAGATGAAACTAGATGCTAGTTCTTTTATAGCTGCCTTTCTTGAGTCTTGATGGTACAAGGGGATCATGTTAGGCAAGGCTGAGGCTCTCAGAAATTTGTGTTTCATCTGTCCTGACCTTGTTAAATCAATTGTCACTGACCCTTGATTCCTTTCTGTCAGCACAACCACCATTTTTTGAGTACTTGTTGTGTATAAAACAATGAACTAAGGACTTTAAAGTACATTATCTCATGTCATTCTCACTATAACTTATTAGGTACATACTGTACTTATACACATTTTTAGGAAGTGGAAAACAAGTTTAAAGAAATGAAATTATTATCCAAGGTTTCCCAGATAATTAATGGCAGAGCCAGGATTCAAGTCCATGTTTGGCTTCAATGCTGAAATTCATATCCCCAACACTGTCTGGGAGGGCTGGGTAGATGGGACATGACACTGACTCTGGGACCTGGTTCCTTCCTGAGGTGAGTGATGCAGGATGATAACCAAATTGTTCTCTCTATGCTACATAGAAGATCTCACTAAAGCTCAAGACCCCCCAAATGCTGTTGCTATAAGACTTAGGCTTGAGGAATCCCCAGCTGAGCACTAGGGCCTCACCTGAACTCTCAATGGAGTATTCCCTACATACCCTCAGATCTTTCTTTTTCTTCTTGTTTGCTGTCAACAGACAGTTTATTCTATAGATTCCTCTTTTGATTAGAAGCTTTATGTTTACTTTACTCACTTCCTTAATATGGTGCTTCAGCTAGTCCCAACAGCCTGTGAAGTTTCCCGGAGATTCAGGGTGTGACACTTTTTCTTTCTCTCTAGGGCCACATCTCCTACGAAGATCTCGTCTCCCCACTGAAGACCCTGGCCCAGCCTTCTGCAGTGCCACGCTCCGTGTATTTGACAAGCTGAGTTGGACACTCCGTGTGGCAGAGTGTCAGTTTGTCAAATACCCCAAGTGCGGCATGTGCCTAGCAACTTCAGGCCAGGGCACTTCAGATACAACAAATAGACTATCAGCTAAATAAGGAACATATGGAAAGCACCAACTAAGCTCTCACAAGTTATTTTTGGGAACTTTGAGGGAATGTAAGCATTTTATCTGAGGTTACTAATGGAAAAATCAGATGGCTCTGGAAGCAACAGTCCTGGGTGGGTTTTGCTCACACTGTGGGAGTCTGAGGTGGGTACAGTAGTCTTTAAAAGGTATCCAGGGCTCAGAAATGTAAGTGTTACTTGATTCATTGTTTTTTTTTTTTCCTTCACATTCACCTTCCAGCATCTCTCAGCAGGGATACCAGAAGTCTCACCACTGCCATGGCAAGACTTAGAAACCCACTTTCCTGACAGTCAGCCTTGGCTCTAAATACACTTTGACATCACCCATCTCTCTTTTTCCTCTTGCTTTTTCTCCTTCTGAGAATACGCTCTACATTTCTTTCTAGCTATCCAGTTCCTCTCCATATTTCCTGGCCCAGCCAGAGTCCAGTCTCTCCAGTGACTTTTGAAAGTCAAATTACACTTTTTAATTCTCAAATTGCTTTTTGCCTGGTTCCTTTTATGTACCCCTTTATCTCCTACTGCCCAATGACACCATGTTAATTGTTAGTGAACTTTTCCAGAGGATATTTTTGAATTCCCCACTAGGTTGTGTGCTTCTAGAGGACAAGACTGTGTTTCCTTGATTGCTGTCTCTCTATTCCATCCCAACCCCAACCACTAGCACAATGTTCTAGTTGCAGAAAATACTCAATAAATATTTGTTTTGATTAACTTTCCACTACTTCATTACCTTTTGGCCTTTGGGACACATGCCACCCAGGAATTTTGTGAGGAAAAAAATTGAAGTGGGGTCAACATAATGCTATAGGGCATGAAAGTTATAGCCAACGTGAAGGGTTTTTCTCCCTCAGAGATTGGGTCAAGGGCTGCAGAAGGAAGGCACAAAAAATAGGCTTCCAGGGCAAATACATTTTGGAATTACTTGGTAACAAAAAGTTTACAGATGCTTTATTGCAAATTTTTTCAGAAACTTTCCTATTCTAATGCTGCATTAGAAAATTTCAAGAGGGAGCTATAGAATGAAGCATTTCTCAGACCTTTATGATTGTAAATTTTTTCCTGTGGACCATCTCCTGAGTCTACTATTCCATGGAACAAAATTTGGGAAGCTGCCCTAGGGGAACTTCACACCTTCCCTGTCTTCTGGAGATCTCCTTTTTTAACTCCTGTGCTTTCCCCCTGACCAGCAATCTATCTAAGACAGGTGTTATATTATCATCTTATTTTTGTTTATCTAAGACTTCTTTCCTGGCTTGTCTACTATGAAAAAAATGATGAGTTTGGGAACACGAATGATCTCCAGAAGTCATCCTTCTGCAATAAATATATTCTTGTAAGATTTCATAGACCTTATATTTGGTCTCTGTTCTACCCACTATTGACTTGGTGTGTTTGACTTTAGACAAATAACTTTTTCTCTTTTGGCTTCATTTCCTCATTTGGCAGTATGGGAGAATTAGAATCAATAATCTCCATGCTCTCCAAGAGAAGAGATTCTGAGATATACATGGGGGTCTATAGCTTCTATGGAGGGGGTAGTCCCTGGATTTGGGGATACTTTTACTAAGGGACATGCAACTAGGATTCTCTTTCCAACCTCAGCAGTCAACATAAATAATGGCTATTTTCAAAGGCTGTGGAGTCTGGACACAGAGCTGTTTCATGAAGAAAGCTGAGGTTTCGAGCCCTGGCTGGTGTAGCTCAGTGGGCTGAGCACGGGCCTGTGAACCAGAGTATCGCAGTTCGATTCCCAGTTAGGGCACATGCCTGGGTTGCAGGTCGGTTCCCAGCAGGGGACGCATGAGAGGCAACCAAACATTGATATTTCTCTCCCTCTCTCCTTCCCTTCCCCTCTAAAGATAAATAAATAAAATCTTAAAAAAAAAGAAAGATGATGTTTCTACTGGGTGGGGATCCTATTTCAGGTAATTGTAAGCATAATGGGGAAGAAGTTGCTCCTTTCACAAGGTATGTGAAGCTGGCATTTGGAGATAAGGAAAATGTTGAGGTTTTGATCATGGGCTTGACAATTTAGGGGTGGTGAAGTGAAGGACTCCTCCTTGCTCACTTTTGGTAATATTTTGACTTCTGTAATCATCCCAAAGGAGAGAAGTTCCTGGTGAAGCCTGAGCTGATCTTGGGGTTGTGCTGGAAACAAAAGTAGCAACATGTCAGCTTCTATGATGAATGGAGAAGTTGATTTCACATGAATTACATCAGGGAGAGGAAGCAGTGTTAAACATTCCCAGAACAGGTCCTCAAAGAAGAGAATGATTTAAAAGTATATGCATGTGCATGCACGTGCACACAGACATACACACTCACATTTCTATTTCCCATGCCTGCTTGAGGAGAGAGACTTATTTACTCTGAACTCCATTCAACAATAAAAGAAGGGACCAGGAGATAGGGGTGATCTATGAAGAATACAACTATTTCATGTTTTTTAGGGTTCCAGGAAATGGAAATCCTTGAGGGTGGTGCATGTGCACTTTGGAAAGAGGTGGAGGGGGGGCCCTTTATCTCGGCAACCACAGTCTCCTGAGGTAGATTATGGGCTCCTTTTTTTCCAGTTTGCAATTGACCTGGTAAGAGTCACCCAGGTGGACCCCACAGGATGATTGAGAAGGGAATAATGGAAGGCGGTTGAGTACTATTTTTCCAAAGATTCGTTGTGTTCTAGCTTGGCCCACTGCTGAAGTGAGGTAAGGATGGCATGGGTGGGAAGAAGAAAAACCAAAACCAAATACTCCCAGGGCTCTGATCATCTCAACTAGTCTTACTTTAATCATTCTTGGTAGGTGCTTGAGATAAGACCAATACAAGCAAGGTTGTGATTATAATTAGATATTTATTGAGCATCAGAAGAATATCAGAGCAGTAGATGCACAGCGAAGAGCAGAACAGAACCCTGGCCTATTACATGACAATTTCAATGTAAACAATCTAGCTTTGTAAAGAAGGAAGTGATTCTGGATAACTGGTCCCCTGATCTGGCAGAGCTAAGTCTTCCTCTAGTATTTTGGTGAGAAGATGAGAAAGGTGAGTGGTGTCTTAGTGCTATGAGGATTTCCCTTTGGTGCTTGGAGAGAAGCAGCAGAAGCCCCACACAGAGATACTAGAATGCTTGGTACCTAACCCAGAAGCAGGCTTGCTTGTGTGCCTATGGCAACTTCTTAGGCAAAGCCAGTCACTCTTAGGGATCCCAATGTTGGCAGGTAAGACATGTTGGGCTATCCAGGAAGAGAAGGGAGGCCATACAAAAAGCAGGGGTTAAAAGGCAATTATGTCAGCAAACCCTGGCCTAGTGGGGCAGTTTTAGCAGACACTCTTGCCCTCAGTGGTCAGAAGCTCATGATCTGGGGAAACTGTGTTCAGCAGGCAGGCATAGTCACCATTTATCTGGGCAATGATCTGGTACTCCTGGTCCAGGTAGGGTTCATCAGAGTAGTCATTTCCCAGAGTCCAGGAAGCTGGATCTTCACTGTAGCAGCCACTTTCAAAGATGGGCACTCTCATGCTTTCACCAGAGTCACTGGCCTCTCTGGAACTCACCCTGTGGCCCAAGAGTTCACCATGCATAAGTAGAGACTTGAGGCTGGGACTCTGGTTTCTTGCCCTTGTGCCCCAATCATTGTCAACTGACCCACAGGCTGTCACCCATACATTGTAGGAACAGAGGGCTAGTGGGCCTGAATTATCCTGTGAATTTTGTGGGCCACTACAGAACTTCAGGGAGTGCTTCAGAGAGGGAAGAAATCTGTGCCCTGACCCTGAAGGCCTTTGGGCATAGGATTGTGTTTGTGTCAAACCCCCTTTCCTCCATGCCAATGACCTATGGAATTGAGGGCTCGGAAAAATAAATAAAAGAGGAGAGACTGTCTTACCTGAAGACTTCATAGACACGATCTAGAAAAGAAGGAGAAATCAGGTCAGAAATCTCCATGGGGAGTGGATAAGGGCTAATGGACTTTGGGTACCAGTCAAAAGGTAAGGGAAGAGGAGACATAGAGGGGGATATCAATAAGTTCAGCTTTCCAGCAACTGGAAAGGTGAGTTGAAACAGAGACATAGATTTCTCAGGAAAAGGAAGAGAAAGCACACCTGGTAACTGTCCTCTTTGACATACTGTGACTCAGGACACTGGGCTGGAGCAGTTGCTTAGTATGATGGGGAGAGGGACATTGGACCTGAGTCCACTTCCCACCCAGGAATCTTTCCTAAGATACCCAGGGAGTCCCTGAGAGAAACTTGGCAGCCAGACCAGAGCCCAGACAGAAGGGGCTGATTAGTGTGAGGTCAGGAACCATGGCCTACAGCATTCCCAAATACACTCATCCCAACCCTGCACCCAGGAAAGGTCCAGAAATAGATCTTGAAGTGGGTCACCATTGCCGCCTAGGAGAAATATCTATATTCAATGCAAGTTTGAAATATCTATATTACAAAGGCTAGTTTGGTACAAAGATGAATGCTTTTTTATACTGTTCTCTATGAACTTGAATCTTTCAACTGGAAATGTATGCATTACACCACAACAAATTATTGTATTGAAAGTCTATAGGTCTTATTGCTATGTGTCATTACTGATAAACTCCATGCTTCTACATTAAATCCCCTAAATAAATTGTAAGCAACTTGAAGCCAAAGATTCTGACTTCTCCTTCTCTTTCATCCTCATTAGACAACTCATTATAGAGATGGCTGTACTATGTTGCATACCAAAGATTTGTAAATTAATTTTTATAAGTCATATTGTTATTGTTGGCTTTCATGTCTGTCTTTACTTACCCTTATCTTCACTCCCAAACTAGGCTTGGGACTCTGAAATGCCTAACAAAGTGCTTGCTACAGAGTTTATACTCAACTATGCTGGTGAAATAAATGAATGACTAAGAGCCATCCAGTTGTACTCATAACTCACCCTGTTGGGACTTCTTCCTGTAGAACATGATATAAGCCATGCTGAAGCCCACCATACAGCACAGGGAGATGATAAGTATTATGACAAAGATAGGCAGGCCCTTTCCTAGAAGGCAAAACAACACTAAGTGGTATTTGGTTAATTTTTTTCCCAGAAACTGAGATCCAAATAATCAGCCCAGACTAACCCACACATTTTTCCTTCCATTTTCTATCTTCTCCTAAATTTTTAAGCTAACCAGAGAGACAAACAAAATCCCACACCTATGACAAAGACTTGAGAGAAGCTAGAGACTTCGTGTATAAACAAGTTCTTCTAAACCTACTGGTTGATGGCTCATAGGCCTCATAGTCCTCCGTGCTTTTCATGGGACTAAGACAAGAGATTTTCACTTTCTCTTAGAGAGGAGAAAGTAGTACCCTGACTTATCAGCTTCACAAAAATGCTGAGAGTTTTGTTAATTACTTCTAACCATAAAATTATTTCCTTTACACTCTCTGGCCAAGTGCTCAGGTTTATTTTTCCTCACAACATATTTCCATGGAGTCTCCTGGGTTACCTATTCCAATCATGTCTACAAACTGAAGGAAATAACTAGACTGGGCTTCTAGTCCTGGATCTGTTATTTACTAGTGGTGTTGCTATGGTAAGCAGAATATTGGTCCTCAAAAGATGTTCCTATCCAAATCCCGAGAATCACTCTGTTAGTTTATGTTGTAAAGAGAAGTTAATGTTGTAGATTGATTTAAGGTTGCTAATTAGCTGACACTGAGATGGGGATATGATCTTGAATTATCTGGGTGGACTCAATATAATCACAAGGGTTTTGTAAAAGCAAAAGAGGGAAACAGAAGAAGAGATAGAAGTCAGGGGGATTTAAGGAATTGAAATTTGCTACTTTTAAAAATGGTGTGAGGGGGCCAAAAGCCAAGAAATGTGGGTTGTTTTTAGAAGCTGAATAGGGCAAAGAAACTGATTTTGTCACAAAGTCTCCAGAAAGAGCACGGCCTTGATGACACCTTGATTTTAGCTAAGCGTGTCACACTTCTGATCTCTATAATTGTAGGATAATACATTTGTGTTATTTTAAGTCACTAAGTTTGGAGTAATCTTTGTAGCAGGCGTAGAAAAATAAGTACAGTGACTTTAGTCAAATTCTTGACTAGGCCCTAATTTTCCCATAATTTCAAGAAAAATATTGGATAATGTCTAATGTACTGTAGCTACAATATTCTGAATCTAGGGGGAAGGGTCAAAGGATAAAGAGGGATAGGTAAAAGAATCCTGATGTTCTTAGAATTTGAAGTTGCCACTGCAACTGGCTTTGTTTTTACCAGACCCCAAAATATTCTTTCTTAGAATTTGGTATTTGTGGTCCTCAGATCCTGGTTGGAGTCGAGAGAACTCAAGCTACAAACTAACACAGATGAAAGGAATATTATTCCTAGGAGGGAGTTAAGTAGTGAAAAACTTCATATAGAATGTAAAGCACAGACCTAACTTTTGAGAATCTTTATTCTGCATAGGATTAATTTCTCATTTTCCCAAACAAGCTCTCCAAGAGGTATCTTCTAACCTCCCTTCTACCACTTGATATTGCCCTGGGAGAGGCATGCAGTTATGGAAACCTTCAAGCCAAAGGTGGCAATACAAAGATGGCATACCAATTAGGTATGGGCTATGATCAGAGACATCTAAGAAGCTCTGCATCCTGGATTGCAGAAGTACAGGAGTATTAAGAAGTCCACCATGAATTAATTATAGGTAGCTAGAGGATGAGATCACGAGTGATAGTCATTGAACTAACACAAACCAATCAAAATAGATGCCTATTATAGACTAAGAGTCTTACAGGACCCCTGCAATACTAGGCATCAATATTTTTATTGAAGGATAAAAACACCATGGGGTGGACTGGTGAGTTCTGAGAAATAGGTGAGGGCAACTCAGGTGAGAATGAGGAGTTCACAAGTTAAGAGAAGTATCAAATTAACAACTAGTATAAATTATTTTATTATTTGAAAATCAGTCCTGGCTAGTGTAGCTCAGTGGATTGAGTGCAGGCTTGTGAACCAAAGGGTTGCCAATTTGATTCCCAGTCAGGGCATGTGCCTGGGTTGTGGGCCAGGTCCCCAGTACAAGGCATGTGAAAGGCAACCACACATTGATGTTTCTCTCCCTTTCTCCTTCCCTTCTCTCTCTAAAAATAAATAAATAAAAATCTAAAAAAAAAACACAGTGAAGACAGAGTAGTGCATACCAGCAGCTATCAGCTCCACTTAAAACATAGAAGAACTTCTTTTTGTGATTTGGATCACTGAGACCATGACTTAGGGATCTTTGAAATTTTGGAGGAATCAGAAGTTGGTTGCAAGTTGCGTAGTGAACTCTAATGAAGAACCCTAGTAATGAAGCCCTTCCATTATCCTTCTGGCCTCTTTAGGAGAGCTGAGTGAGATTGTGGGCCCATTTTTCTTTTTGCTTAAAATGTTTGTAAAGTATGACAATAAGAACCAACTAAGAACACATCTACCACTTCCCTTAACCCCACTCTGACTTTGCTCATCCTTGGATCTATATCTCTTCCTCACCAGCCTACCTACCCTTCTCATCTCCAGAGTCTTTCACCATTGTCTAAACTGTAAACCATAGCAAGTAGTGGTTGTAGGGCTCAATTCCCTTAGGACAAGGTGTATCATGGAAAGTGTCAGTTGCAAAATTTAAAGCCAAAAAGAATGAATAGAAGTTGTGACATTGCCCTTACCTGGTTCAGCACTGGTATCCCCAAGGTAGCTGTGCACTTCAGTGGTCCAGGCCCAGGATGAGTTCACTGTGGATGTTCCTATGAAAACAGGCTATTAGGATCTGAGAACCCTCTTATATCAGGAGCTGGAATGTGGAGAGCAACTGCAAAGTTTGGGATACTTCTCTGGACATCTGTACTGAGCTTCCCAGAATTTCTTGCCATGTCATTGATTACTTGTACTAGGAGGTGAGGTGCCTTTATTACTGTTGGAAGTGGGAAGAAGGTCCAAATAGGGGAGGTAACATATTCAAAGTCCCACAGCAAGTGAGACTATGGGCAGAAGTCTTCAGTTTTCTCTTTTTCCATGGGATTATTCTATCTCCTTACTTTTGCTTCAGAAGTTCTCACAAAGAAGAATATATATATTCATGGTTCCACTTGTTCATAGCCCTTAAATCCTTGCTATCTCTTTTATTTTTACTACATTATTGCTATGTTACTTCTGAGGAATCCAGTGACCTCTTTTTCACTATCTAATGGCATTGGGCACTCTCTCTTGGCTTTCATGACACCATTTCAGACTTCAGACCCCTCAGTTCAAAACAACCCTAGTAAAACTTACTTTCCAAGGGGGATTGCATGGTTGTAGGTGCCTCACTCTTGTTTTTTTGTGACTTTGAGGAGTCTGTAAAGGAAAAGTAGCTCAGTCAAGGTTCCCAACACCCTTGAGAGAACAGAAATGACCTAGAAAAATTGGAAAGTAAGTAAAGGTGAGTAAGGTCCACAGTTGGACCTATCTCAACAATTCTCTCATGATGGTAAAAATTTGTGTGTTATTTCTTTATACTTAAAATCATTCTAAGGCAGCATTATTAATCCAGGGTTCATAGACACAAAAGAAATGTGTAGGTAGAGTGCAGAGGGTCTTTCAAATTGGATGGGAAAAACAGACTTTGTTTTTAGTAATGTTAACTAATTTTTGGCTGTTTATTCTCTTGAGATAATCACAAAGTATTACAAAGAAATCGGCTGTGAGTAATGTCAGTGGAAATGGTAGATTAATAACCTCTAAATATTTACCTGTTTACAAATGCACAAAATAACTGACAAAATTTTTATAATCAACTTCTTTTTCAGAATTTCGGAAATTAGCCAAATGTTTGCATCATCCCAGAAATACCCCATTCTTGTTAGGAATGTGCCCATTTCATGGCATTTTAATTTATCTTAGCCCCATTACCTCTCAACAGTCCAGTAGTAGCCTTGAAATAAAACCCAATTCCAGGTGCTAGAGTAAGCAGAAAAGATTTAATTCCCCCCAAATTGTCATTATTTGACTTGTGTAACAGTTTCTTAAAAGACCTGATTCAAATTGGTCAGTGCTAAAACTCTCCCCAGGGAGAAGAATTTGTCACACAGCTGCTTGAAGAAATGAATATCAGTTGACAGAAACAAGAGCATAACAATTTTTTTTTAAACTGAGAAATGAGATATTCATAGGGACTTTGAAAAACACACATATATAGAGCTGTGTACATACTCAGGAAATACATGAGGTCATAAATTTTTACCTTTGCCTAGCCCAAAGGCTTTGAAAAGCAGAAAATGAAGGCTATGAGATAGTTATAAACTTCCTAGGTAGGTGTTTAAGACATAATTTTAAAAAGGCAATAAAGCCCTTCAGTAAAGAGGGAAATTTCTTGGTTCTAGGTATTTAAGAAAATCTTTATTCAGTTATTAGCATGCCACTAGCGTAACCCAGTAGAGATGTAGTGCCCATTTATGACAAAGAATATAGAAGACTATACAGAATAAGTTCAGAATAGTCATGAAATGAACAAGCAGCAACTACTATAACAAGTAGAGCCACAAAACAAGTGCTGGTAAGAGAGAAAAAAATCAGATTTGCAGAGTTGCCATATTATATTTTAAAAATCCAGTTTTCAAAGAAAATATGAGACATGAAAAGAAACTAGAAAGTTTTGCTTATAAACAGGCATAAAATAAGTAGAAATGGTCCTCGAGGAAACACAGATATTGGAAGTACTAGAAAATATTTTAAAACAACTATTTTAAATATGTTTAAAAACTACAGAGAATCATATCTAAAAAACTATGAGAATGAGCACAATTCAAACCAATTAGAGAAAATCAATAAGGAGATAGAAATTATAAAATAGGAACCACCTAGAAATATTGGAGTTGAAAAGCACAATAATTAAAAGGAAAAAATTACTAATGGGGAGAAAAAATATACTAGAGCAAATTTTAACATGCAGGAAAAAAATCAGTAAATTTGAAGATATGACAATTGAAAGGAGCCACTTCAAGGAACAGAAAGAAAAAATGAATGACAAAAAATGAGCAGCTCCTCAGAGATCTATAGGACATCATCAAGTATACCAAAATACAGGCAATGGGAGTTCTTGGGAAAAAAAGATATTTAAAAAGGCGGGCATAATATTTTATTTTTAATCATCACCTCAGGATATGTTTATTGATTTTAGAGATAGCAGAAGAAGGCAAGGGGAAGAGAGAGAAAGAAACATTGATGTTAGAGAGAAACATTGATCAGTTTCTTCTCATACACACACAAACTGGGTATGTACCCGGACCAAGAATCAAACCTGCAATTTTTTTGGTGTATGGGATGATGCTCCAACCAACTTAGCAACCTGGCCAGGGTAGACATAATATTTTAGAAAATAATGTCAAAGAATTCAAATTGTATGAAAAACATTTAATATGCTGATAGAGAAGCTCAATGAACTCTAGGTTGGAAAATCACCCAAATCTAGACACATAATGAAAGTAAAAACCTAAGAAACAATATTGAAAGCAGCAAGAGAGAGAAGCAAGTCATTATACAAAGTAATTCTTGGTAAGATTAATTGCTGATGTCTCACTGAAAATAATGGAGGCCATAAGACACTGAGATGACATATTTAAAGTACTCACCCTCCCATGTATACATCAACAATTTTATATTTAGCAAAACTGCCCTTCAAAAAGTGAAGAAGAAATTAAGGGACATGAAGATAAACAATAGCTGGGAAAGTTTATCACTACTAGATCTGCCTTACAAGAAATTTTAATGAAAGTTCTTCAGGCTGAAATGAAAAGACACAAGATTGTTACTTGAGTCAATGTGAAGAAATAAAGCATCAGTAAATAAAACTGCCTAAGTATAGATTGTAAATGTATTTTTGTTTGTAATACTTTTTTTCTATCTGTTTTAAAAGACAACTACATAAAGTAATAATTATAAATCTGTGTTGATGTGATTATCATGTATAAAATATAATCTGTTACAATAACAGCATAAAAGAGGAAGAATATAGTTGTATAAAAACAAAATTTTTGTATGCTATTGAAATTAAGTGGGCATAATCCAAATTGTATTATAGTATACTAAGAATCAATGACAGTCTCTTTGGTAATGACCAAGTAAATAACTAAATTTATATGGTAGAAAAATGCAGATCCAAGATGATGGCAGATTAGGTGGAAGCAACACTAATCTCTACCCAGTGCCAAACTGGAATTACAATCAAATTATAGAAAAAATAATCCTGAATAACCAACTGAAGACAAGCTGAAGAAAAGCCTTATAACCAAGAACATACAGAAGAATCCACATAGAGACTGGTGGGTACTAAAGAGGTGCAAGAAGGTTGGCAAGACTTTTGAGAAAAGCAGATGAAGTTCTAGAGGGATATCTGAGCTATGAAAGGGGTTCACCCTGAGAAGTATGGTGTCTGACCCCCAAGCCAGGCTCCCTAGCCTAGAGCACAAGAACCAGGAAATATGCCCACATAACATTTGGCTGTGAAAAGCAGCAGAGTTTCTTTCCAACAGGAAAAGATGGCTAGAGAGACAGCCAATCCCCTAAAGGGCCAAAACACAAAATTTTATTCACAGCCACTCATCCTGGGCTCCAGCAGAGGCCACTGGGTATGTTCTGAGCCTCTTTTTTCAAAGAGATTAGAGCTGTTTGAAGAGATTCTGGGATTGGAGGTTCTAGGGAGAGAGCTGAAAGTTCAGCTGCCAGGATCCCTGTTCTGAGTCATTCCCCCATCCTGAAGAAGTTATCTTTCTTGGGCACTCTACTTCTCTTCAAATGGCATTAGCCTGGGGGGAAACAATAGTCCTACCTGCTGGAATCCCTCTTCTCCATCCTGTGGAGTTTAAGCCCTGCTGAGCAGTACAGCCAGAGGCTCTTTCAGTGACTAAGCCTAACAGGCAACCCGTAGGTGAAGGCAGATAGATCTCTGGATGGTTTGAGAATTTTGCTGACCCACTCTCAGGCCTGGTGGTGATAAAAGCCATCTTTGGTGTGTAGCTTGGTCTTTTATGCACTCGCCCAGGCCCAGCAAAGGGAGCCATAAGCTGTGGATCACTGATAGCTCCAGATTCATAACAAATTCATAATAGATTGCCCAGGGTCAGTCACAGGCAGCATCTAACATTGGTCTCCACAGAGTCCTTCCAAAGAGGCTCAAAACATACCTAGTGGCCTGCTTCAAACAAGAGCAGAGGAGGATACAATAAGCTTCAAAAGCAGCATATCCACAGGAAGATCTTGGCAGGCACCAAAAACCACTGAGTTGAATTCTGCTTTGTGTGATGAGCACCTGCACAACAGCTTGCACACTGTGTTGGGGGTTGAACCTCAAAGTCAGCCAGCCTGAGAGTCAATCCCACACATGAATGGACCAATAACAATTAGGATTCAGTTATAGCAGGAGGGCCCACATAACATTCACAAGGGACATACTTAGAGCACCCACCTTAGATGGTCAGGGAGACTGTGCCAGTAGGTCCCATGGGACTGAGCGCCCTACCAAGACTATATAAGACCACCCTACCAAGACTGAGAGTCACAGCAGATCTACCTAACACATAAAAACAAACACAAAGAGCCAGCCAAAATAGAGAGACAATGAAATAAATATGCTTCAAATGAAAGAACAAAAGAATTCTCCAGAAGAAGAGCTTAATGAAATAAAGGCAAGCAATTTATCAGATATAGGATACAAAGTAATAATTATAAGGATGATCAACAGCATGAAAAAAGACATAGAAACCATACCTATGGACCTGTCAGAAATGAAGAATACAATTCCTAAAATAAATAATCCTGGAAGGAATAATCAGTAAGTTAGATGAAGCAGAGGATTGAAAAAGCAATTTGGAAGACAAGGTAGAAAAAAAACACCCAATCAGAGCAGCAAAAGAAAAAAAGAATAAAAAAAAAAGATAGTTTAAGACTTCCGCCAAGATGGAGGCATAGGTGGATAAGCTGTGCCTTCTCACACAACCAAGTTTAGAGACAACTAAATATTAGCAACAGAAAACATAGCCAGAACACAGAAAATTGAACTTTTCGGAAGTCTGTTAACAACAAATTCTTCAGCCTGACTGGTATGAGGGGTGAAGCCAGCAGCTGGTGGAGTGGGGTTGCACAGGAAAACTCGGTCAGATGGACTCAGGCGCGCCGAATCCAGGCACAGGGTTGGACCTAGTGAGTGACCAAGCGAGCGACCAAGCAAGCGACCGCGGGGGAAACAGAGAGAGAGCAGGGCTGCGGGTTGACTGTGGTCACACGTTGGTGCACGGATAGACAAGAGAGGGAGTGGGCAATTGGACCTGGACCCAGCGGGTCCCCACGGCTAGTGGCAGGGA